GGGGGACAAATCTCAGCAGCCAGCACTAATATAACATTACTTGTTGACTATATGATCCCTTGTCAGATGAGAAGGGTTTTTATTCAGTGGAGCAGGTATTATGAGGTGATAAGAACGATCCTAAACGGGAGTCTAGTTACTAAAACTCCGTCATCATCCCAATTGAACATGTGATGATGTTGTGTCAACGAATTTGCGTTGATCAGACCACCGTATGAATGACATGTCATAGCTCCAGGGATTCATCATAAGATTCAAGCCGCGCTTATCACAAATACACCTGCTTCTTTTGGCAATATACGATACCCTGGTTCACGGCGAGGAGCTCGGTATAATTTCCCTGCTTTTCTGTTTAGCCCCACCGCTCATCCGTCCATCCCGTCTCTGATGCTACGATGATTCCGTCCAAGGTTTCCGGAAATGCTAACGGAGAGCGTGGTACTGTAGCAGTAATTTAGGCTGATGCCTGGAACATCCCGAAGTCTTAGTCAGCTAGGTGAACATATATTTCCGATTGACTTTTAGTTTTCTTACATCATACTCCACTTCCAAGATGGATTCTGAACTAGCAGGGCGTTGCTCTTCTATGGAGACACTGAACTCCCCACATACATGGAACGATGATGAGAAAAGTTCACTCATTGATCACAACCAGCGAGAAACAGTTACTCGTGCACAGAGGAAGTATGGATATATATGGCATGGGCTTTCGTACATCGCAGTTATCCTCCTGACAATGCTTATCTCAACCATCATCTCTGCTAAAGCACGCATCGGATCCGGGTGCTCTTGCTCACTTGCTACAACGTGTAAGCTTCCTATGAACATTTATACGTGGCTATTAACATATGCAGCCCCCTCTGGCGACCTTCAATCGGATTTAGTTATGGTTAATTCAGCTTCTGATGCAACTGTAAAGAAGGCTTCGCTCAACGAAATAGAACTACAAAAAGCTTGGGATGCATTAGCCGAACGTTCCGATGGTGCCACCGTTATTGTTCCTGAAACCTTTGGACGTGAGCGAGGAATTCTCCCTGAGTCACCACGGGTTACTCGCAACGGAGTCTCGGGATTCCTGGTCACCTTGGACAGTATGCATCAAGCTCATTGTGTGGTAATATGCCTAATTCCGATCGTTAAAAACGACCAAATATTGATAGATGATATAGGACGCTGCGTGGCGCCGTCTCTGGTTCAATCACGAGGACGACAAATTGAATGGGCCTATGGCGAAGTACAATATTTCAGATCAGTGGTACAAAGATCATATTAGTAAGGATCTTCTTTGTTTAAAACGACTGACAAGACGACCTAACTTTAACTAGCTCATTGTCTAAAGATCTTGAAACAGTCAATTCTCTGCAAGATGAACATAGATATGGTGATGGGATATATTCAGTGGAATAGGTCCAATCCAGATGACTTCATCCACTTTGAAAAGAACCACATATGTAAAAACTATACTGACGTACTGGGGTGGATTAAGAATAGAAATGAATCTTAGCATAGCTCTCCATATTGATCAATTGTAAATCTAGAGAGATTCTCTTACCTCTTATACGCTAGTTCCCGCAAGCCACCGTGTTTGGGCTCGTATGGTATATCATTAGGGCTCTAAGGCTTCATGGAAGAACTTCAACTTCCAAAGAGAGATATCGAGTGTCTAGTGATCACTCTTAGCAAAGCAGAATCACTGAAACATTAGTTTCAAGTTATTCAGTTTCCCAATAACTAACTATGATTCCCATGAGTCTCGAACAAGTAACGTTCAACTTCAATCTAGATCTGACACACTTGATAGTTACAACTAGAAATTGTCACGTAGTTGACAAGAATTTCTCAAGTCGTCTTACGTTGACAGAATTCTCGTTATGAAGTTCACTTTTATTACTTCTTAGCTACTTAGCCTTCGAAACCATTCTCTTCTATCAATGGATTAATGCCGATTGCGATCGCACCTACTAGAGCGCTGAGCCAGAACGGTAGACCAGCGAGATTCCGATCTAAACCGAATGCAAGTAGAACACCTGATATAGCTGAACTAGACGCTCTGGTCGCCGTGGACACGAAGAAGGCAATACTCTGGGTTTTTGCTAGGGCGGAGGGATGTGGTGATGACTGCGCTACAAGTATGAGCTGGCAAGGCATCACGCAGCCTACGAAAAGCCCTGTTATAATAGCAAGAAATACTATAAACCCCCAAATGAAAAACCCCGTTTTTTCCGAGGGTGGAGGTAGGCTCGAAGGCAGAACAGCGATGTATGGATATAGGAACCATATCGAGGGGAATGCGAACATGAAGTACCTCCAGGTTCTCAGTACTCCCAGGCTTTGAGTAATTCGAGGGTACAACCATAACTGAAATGGAAGCCCCAACATGCCTAACATGGAACTAAGCGTAAGCATTGGTGCTGAAGTTTAAGGTCACGGGGACATGATTCGTAGAGGCACGTACCAAATATACATGTCGTCCATGCGAGTGAGCTTGGCTTGAATCCAGCGCCGCCAGTGAATCGAAACGGCAGTACTGTTTGACGTTCCTGCTCTTCACTTGCCACAGGGAAACTTAACAAATTGTTCATGGCGTCACTAGTCACGCCAACCTGTATATCCTGAAGAAACCCTGCAAATAGAACAAGCATCATCTTCTTGGTAAACATCCAAGAGGTTGGTAGCACACACTCCGCCTTGTTCACGATTTCATCTTCCTCTAGAATAGACTTTGGTCGCATTGATGAGGCTCCTTGACCACCATTTTCCACTCTGGTAAAACACTCCATTTCCCTATCTCCGTCGATATCAACAGGGACTGCCTCATAACGCGCCAATTGGTGTCTAGATGATCTGGAGATGAATGACATAATTCGTCGGGAGATTGCAATTCCGGGGTCGTATTCTTCTCGTAAAGGTTCTAATGTCTTTTTTTGGTTAGGATAAAGGTACATGAATCTCAATGTCAATATATGCTTTAGCACTACTCACCTCCTCGAGAAAGAAAAAAGTTGAGAATAGTGGCACTAGTAACAGCATGGAGTTGATCAAAGGTGGTAACGCATAGGGATGTCTCTCCAGAAAGGATCGGTTGCTGGTCTGTGTTTGAGGATTGGCTTCGACTGTCAAGCCTGCTATAAGGGGACCGAGGACTGATGCGAAACTTGTGCATATTGGTAGCAATACAAATGCTCTGGCTTGAAACCTGGAAACCTGAAAGTTAGTTGCTGTAAAAGCATAGATCGCAAGGCCCAGGGGCGAAACTTGCCGCTTTTGTGGTACCACTTCGGAAACTAGCGTCCTTACAATGGCCGTATTGTTATTAGAGAAGCCTTGTGCAGCATAGATGACAATAGCCTGTTTATAGCTTGAAATGAAGCAAAGAGACAGGTTGCTGAGGACTGAGATTTCAATCAGAAATGATCGACGTAAGGCTTTTCAGAAGACATATGAGGGGGGGAGGAAAGGAATTATTGACGAACATGAACAGCCTAGGGCAATGAGCAGGACTAGTTTCCTTCCACCCAGTGGTGAGTCTGCAACGAGACCCCAGAGAAAACACGAAACACACTGAGCCAGCATATATACTGACCGAAGACTCGATGCCTGTCTTATGATCTCATCATCTGGAGAGTTTGGGTCGAGGTATCGAAGTTGGTAAAATATATATGAGTTGAGGCAGAATACAGTGATAGGTTCAGTAATTCGGATCATGCATAGAACGAGTAACTGCCCTTTTCGTGGCAAAGCAGCCCAGCTGGGCCGCCCGTATCGGTTTGCCATCCCTGTAGCTGATTGGAGAGCCAACTGTACAAAATCGAGATCAAAGCCAATCTCTGATGAACATAAACTAGCGATGGAAGTTATGAAAGTAAATAGAAAGCGGACTCAGATAATGATTTGTTGAGCGATTGAGAGAAGTCCCGCAAGCAACATGTTACATTGGGCGGAGCCCTTGTGTCGAAAAGACAGCTCACCTTAGCTGTTAATCCACTTTCCGTGTGCTATCGGGCCGGCGGTGCTATTGGAGATTTCTTCAATTGAAGCAGAGTAAGCGCTAGCAGACGAAAGACGGGAATAGTAACAGGGGACCATGTTACATTCCCATGCACTTGCAGCTTCCGCTTTACGCACTTAGCCCAATCGTCATCCGACGCAGGACACGGACCCGCCTGATGTACGCGTTTCCAAAAGAGGTTAGGCTACATCAATATCGTGCGTTGATTGGGCCCACAGCTTGGAAAAAGACGCATCGCTAATAGAAACTAGTACTATTTAGACAGAATCATCACTAAGCGACGGAAGCTTAGCGTGGGATCAGAGGTGGCCTACTTACAGAAACCGGAAGCTGCAACTGCATGAGAGTGTACATTGGCAACCGGGTGGATTTATCGGAGATACCGGAAATTTTCGCTGATGTGATATACGAAAATTCATCATTTATATCATATGTATCATGCTCGATTGTTTCCCAAATCTCTACGACAGATATGATAGCACGCATGTTTCTTCTCATCTGGGCGATTGCGCTAACGTTATGCATTCAAACCATCCAAGGAACACAGCAAAAGGCTGAAGTATTTTCAGACCTGTTTATCGTTGAGCTTCGAAAAGACTATGTAAAGTGTCCTAATCATTTTTAGCATTCCAAGCGCTCATCCGTGATATAGGCCGTCGAATCATTTTTTGGTGCGGTGAGGACAATTGGTATCAATATATCGAAGCGATTGGAACTTGAATCACGATTCTTCTATGGAGTTTCATTTCAAATTATTAACATCCCTAATGGCATGAAAGCTTTGGAAACGATCACAAAACTTGTGGGAGTCGAAAATATTTGGCCGGTCCAACATCATGCTTTACCGGACTATCACACGAAATGGGTAGGCACCAATCCATCTAGCCTGCATTCGGCTGGTTCTAGAAGGAATATTGTGGAAAACTATCCACCCCACGTCATGACACAGATTGATAGATTAAATGCCGATGGAATTACTGGATCTGGTATCAGAATTGCTGTTATCGACACTGGGGTGAGTAATCAGGTGGGACGACAAATTCCAGCCACTAATCTTATTAAAAGATTGACTATTCTCACCCTTTACTTGGTGGCTGCTTTGGAAAAGGCAAGTTAGAAATTATGAATGGAGAGATGGATTCTAACTTGTTCAGAAGGTTGTGTGGTGGGCTATGGGTTCGATTTTGTCGGTGACGAATACAACGGAAAGAATACACCAATGCCCGATCCAGAGTATGTTGCTCATGTCACAACTCAATGCTACTGAGGGTGTGCTAACAGTATATTTTCATTAGTCCTATGGACTGTTCAGGACACGGAACTCATATTGCTGGTGTCATCGCAGCAAAGGAAAACGAATTCGGCTTTGTCGGAGCTGCTTCAAATGTTACTATCGGTGCCTATCGTGTCTACGGGTGTACTGGTCGAGGCGTCACAACTGACGTTCTTATCGCCGCGTTCACAAAAGCCGTCGAAGATGGTAGTAACATAATTACAGCTTCTATTGGCGATACTGGCGGGTGGCCTTATGACGCATGGACTTTAGCAGTTGAGCGAATTGTTGCTGCAGGAATTCCCTGCATATTGTCTACTGGAAACAGCGGCCAGGATGGTTTATTCATGCCCGGGGGCGCGGCACATGGCAAGAACGTCGCATCCGTGGGCTCATACGACAACAACCAGATTCCCACTTTTTGGTCTACGGCAAAGTATACAATGAACAATTCTTCGGAAATACCGTTCTACTGGACTGCTGGTGATCCGGCCAGATGGGGCAATCTCTCGCTTCCTTTGGTGGCGTTGAGTTATGATTACAGCAACTCAAATGACGCCTGTAATAGCCTTCCGGCAAACACGACAGACCTATCTGACTACATCGTTCTTATCAGGAGAGGCAATTGTGACTTTTCTCAAAAAGCTGCAAATGCTGTGGCGAGAGGTGCTCGATACATCATCTTCTACAGTAACACTGAAAGCGTGTACTCACCTGAGATGACTACAGACGGTCTGCTTGGAACTGGAATGATTTCAGCTGATCAAGGTCGAAATTTCATTGAAAATTTAAGGAACGGGTCAAAGATCGTGATTAAGATTATTGATCCTGCTAATGCAGCCCACCACGTAACTTTCCGGACGAATAACTCGACTGGAGGATACATCAGCACGTATACTAGCTGGGGACCAACATTCGAGTTAGACGTCAAACCACAATTTGGCGCACCTGGAGGTTGGATATTGTCCACTTACCCAATTGCTAAGGGCGGGTTCGCAGTCCTTTCAGGAACCTCAATGGCATGTCCTCTTGTAGCAGCCATCTACGCATTGGTCGCCCAAGTAAGACAAACATTCGACCCTACAACTCTGAGAAATATCCTCTCAGCAACTGCGAAACCAACCAACTTCAACAACGGTACCGCAACCTATCCTTACTTGGCACCAGTCCCTCAGCAAGGTAGCGGAATGCTTCAGGCGTACGATGCCGCACACTGTGCTACCCTTTTATCTACGTCAAGCCTGTTGCTAAATGACACAGCCTATTTCAACAATGCTACAAGATTTTTGATCCATAATTCTGGACATGTGGATGTCTTATACCACTTGAGCTCTAAGAACGCAGCCACAGCATATACCTTGCCTTCCAATAGCATATATCCTGCAAAATTTCCCCCAGAGCTGTTGGAGGAGCATGCCGGTGTTCAGTTTTCTGAAAACGCAATCATCGTGCCAGCTGGAAAGTCTCAGCTTGTCGAAGTTACCATAAGTCCGCCACATTTGGATGCTACCCGCCTTGGTGTTTATTCCGGGTTTATCACTATCCATGGGACGAATGGGGACATTCTTTCTCTCCCATTCATGGGTATATCTGGATCCATGCAAGATGCAACTGTTCTCGCCGAAGGCTTTTTATCGGATTCAACAGATGCTAAGGATACTCCAGTCTCGAACGGGACGCGCTACGAACTGATGAAGGGTCTTTCAAGTGGGCTCATGCGTAACAATTCCAATCTTAAGATTCCGGCTGTAAGCGTTACTCTCGCGCTTGGCTCGCCCCTTCTTAGAGTCGATGTTATTCCTCACTCGACCTCAAATTCAAATACCAAGCTCATATTGGGTGTTGCTAGTTTAGGAAACATTGATGGGTTTCCTAAGAGGTATCTAGCAAGGGGGCAATACAGCTGGCCTTGGACGGGTCAGCTAGATGATGAATCTTACGTGCCAGAGGGCCAGTATAAGCTACTTATTAGAGCACTTCGTATCTTTGGGGATCCGGACAATAAGGAAGACTACGACGAGGTAGAGACTGTAGCATTCAGCTTGACATATCATACTTAACTAGATAGGCTGCTGAGATTTGTCCCCAAGGTTTTGAGATTTGTCCCCAAGATGAGATTTGTCCCCAACGCTAGCTATATCTTTACTAGCGCCAAATATATTACAGTATTCTATTCTTTTAGGCACAGGTACGTGTGAAGAGGGGCTGCACTTAATAACGTATATTGCTAGATCTATTATCTATTAACACCGCCATCTCTTACGTGGGCCAAGGCTTTTCCAGGCTTCGGAAGCCGCCACTACTACAGCACGCTTAGGCCGTGGCGTGGGTATATCTTCACGCTTAGCAGGTGCGTTCTAAGCGTCAACTTATGCGAATCTCTTAGTATAGAAAGCTTCCATATCTCCAAAGTAATAGTTCCAAGCCATAGTTAGTATGCAAGAAGTAAAGAGTCCTTGCGTAGCAAGAGCCATATTCCGCGCCTCCACAAGTTCTACAGGATCCTCCTCCTACCCAGTCTCTACTAGAAAGTTGGTAGCTAATATCATATTATTACACTAATACAGAATAGGTTGAGATTGTCGACTCTTAATATCAGCCAGAAACTCTTCTGGCGTTGGAGGTCGCCATACAGGAGACGGAGCCATAGTCACTAACACAGCGACAGCCACAGGCGGAGATGAACGAGGAGATGTAAGAGAAGGTAGAGGAGCAGGTGCTGGAACTGACACTAATATACAGGTGGTCACAGGACCCGCGCCTAGTATAGATGTAGGAACTGAAACAGTGACTAAAGTACTAACTTGCTGCAGAGCTTCGGCTAGTGTTTAGCCCTAAGGTTCAAGGTAAGGCTAATAGCGAGGGATAGAAGGTGGCACAGGTCGTTCGAAAGCTGAGGGGTCTCGACGAGTAGATGCTTCATTTCTCCTCAGCGCACCCCTTATTTAAGCTATAAGAGGCTCTAGAACAGACTGGTACGGCCTAGGGAATAGGAACACCGAAGGTCCTTGCTTACGTTGGTAGCGCTAGTGATCATCATAGAGATAGTTTAATCGTAGTGTAGATTTAGCAGCTATCACTTCCTACAGCGTATAGCGGCATAGAAGACCGTTAGTTTTCTCAAAGAGGCCAGAACAAGGATGCCCACCACGACGCTGGCTTTGCTCTTTCTAGTGTAGCAAATCTTATTATCTAATACGCTCAATAGCTAGCGGTGTGAGGATATTATAGATCCCGTGAGGTAGGAAGGGCATTAAGTCGAGCTTATGCTAAAATTTAGTGCTATATCTAGAAGAAGCGATCTCCTTTTTATACTTATTATATTGACTCTTAACTATCTACTCAATCCTCTCAACAACACGAAGTAAGTCACCTATTGAGGTCATAAGATAGTCCTTCAAGACCTTATGCATTCCTTCAACAGGTGAGCTTATAATCGTGCTGTAGTGTCGGTGGTGAGAAGTCCATACAGCTGCCCACTCCATGCGTGTTAGGTATTGGTTCTCTTGCAGGTATCTGCAGAGTTCTGGCTGGTGACTATAGTCTTTAATTAAATTATTCCATTCAAATTAGAACTCTAATAGCCTCTTTGCGTAGACTAGCTGCTCTAGTTAGCTAGGGGCTATATAATATAACTAGCGTCGGCTTAAAGTGCTTACAACAACTAGGGCTAGTATACCTAAGTCCAGCGTTTCATGAATGATTTCTTTTAATTAGTGATTCTCTGCTTTGCCTCTTTCGTCGCACCGTTAGTATCTCGCCACATTTGCTGAGCTTTTGTCTGAACATTCTTGTTAATATGCCATACGCATAAGAGCTAAGGAACTCCTAGGAGTAGCGAGCGTGCTGAAGTTTTTAAAGCTTCTTCCTGATCGCTAATAAACACACGCAGTTATTGCACGCCAGTCTTATATAGGAAATTCGCGATCGCCCAATAGTAGTCTGCATATATCTCATTGCTAAGAAAGCAGAAGCCTACAGAGAAGAACGTCTGCAGGTTAGTGCAGCCAAGAATATATAGTAGAGGGAGTTTGTACTTGTTAGTTCGATATGTGCAATCCATCAACAAGACGTTAGGGTTTGCTAGCAGAAGCTCGACCTACTTCTAGTGGGTAAAGAAGAGGTTCTAAATGCGATTATTGTCATCCTTCTTAACTACAAAGATCTAGTTGGCCGTGGATAGATCGTCCAGTAGTGTCTTAACTGGGCTTCTTCTATTAAGATGCTTTTCCCTAATAGCCTTCCTCTCGCTGCGAATATTAGTGGCAGATATTAGGGTGTCCTAATCTTCTCTCTAGATAGCAGCTAGTATCTATATAGGCCGCACGCTAGTATGGGTCATTAATTTTATAACTTCCTTTTATGCTGGTGTACGTCTACGGTAGATATTATACGCGCTTAAGTTAATTGACTAGGGATGGTTGTAGTTCTTATTCTGTACTTCTAGCTTCTATTAATTGCTATGCTTTATCCTAAAAATAACAAGCTTAAAAGGATATCCTGTTAAGCGTGTGCTTGTGCTTAGAACCTTTGTAGTCGACTGGTAGTTGTTCCTAAAGCGATCGCAGTGGTAGTAGTAACGTGTTTTAATAGCTAAGTTGTGAGGCTAACTCCGTTTGAGGATGAAGCCGTAGCTATGCTGTATGCCATGCGCTTTAAGCGCGCTGTATGCTTCTTCGTAGGAACCGTAAAGCTGGTCTAGAGGGGGTGTGATGTTACCTATATTACCAAGAGTAAGAAATAAGCTAGATAGCTATATTTTTGATGAATATTTAGCTATAGTAGATATCTGGTGGTGTTGCGGAGGTGGCGGGTTCGAAGATTACGCACTAAGCTAAGTTGGGGAGAAAGTTTACACTAGTACTAGCGTTGGGGACAAATCTTATCTTAGGGACAAATCTCAAAAGCTTGGGGACAAATCTTAGCAGCCTTTTGAGATTTGTCCCCCTCCGAAGTACCGAATTGCTTTGCATCTACACAACTTAACACTAGTAAGATTTTAAATAAACTTTTAAATATCAAAAAATCTTCTAGGGCCTCGCAAAGCTCCTATTAAAACTTAAAGCTAAAGATTAGTCTGTGTTATAGTTGAATTGCATGTTAAAGTTAGTAGCATTTTTAAAGAAATCGCCAACTTTAAGTTTACTTAGCTCATTCCTATCTCTATCGAAATCTATAAAATATAGGCGAAGGGTACTCTAGTATATACGAAACGTATTTCAGGCTTTAAAGATAAAAATTATATATAGTGTTATAGTGAAATTGCATTGCGGAGTGTAAAAGTTGACATTTTCAGTACTTTGGAGGGGGACAAATCTTAAAAACAGGGGGATAAATCACGCTAGCTATAAAAGTAGTTAGTGCTAGACAACTATAACTAGTTAACTAGTTATATGATTGTGCTATATTCTACTAGCGTCAACGTCTCTTGCATAGACCAAGATATTTCTAAGCCCCTAGAGCGGCTATTACTACAGCGCGCTTAGGCCGTAGCGAAGGTGCATCCTAAAGCTTAACTACTACGTTCTGCGGTTTAGTTACTATATTCTAAGCGTTAAATTACGTAAATCTATTAGTTTAGAAAGCCTCTATATCTCTAAAGTAATAGTTCTAGGCTATAGTTGGAGTATATAAGGTGAAAAGCCCTTTAATAGCGTAAGCTATATTCCGCACTTTGACTAGCTCTACTAGATCGCCTTCCTACCCTGTTTCTACTAAAAAAATTACTTGCTACTAACGTATCGCTGTATTAATATAGAACTAGTTATAAGCGGCGACTCTTGATATCTGTAAGAAACTTTTGCAATAACGGGGCCTACTAAGTAGGGGGCGAGGCAACTATAACAGACACTATAATAGAGACAGGCGGTAATAAGCGAGCAGACGAAGTAGTAGGTATTAGAGTAGGTGTAGGTATAGACAAAGATATACACGTAGCTATAGGGCCTGTAGAGGCTGTAGAAGCTAGACCTAATATAGTGATAGATGTATTTACTTATTATAGAACTTTAGTGAGTGTCTGGTCCTAGGGTTCTTCGTGGGGCTGAAACGGGGAAGGAGGTATATATCGTTTGAAAGCTAACAGATCTTAACGGTTTAATGCCTTATTCTTCCTTAGGCCACCCCGTATTTAAGCAGTTAGTAGCTCTATAACTATATAGTATACTCTTAGGGAAATACGAACAGATAGTTCTTACTCGCGTTAATAGCGCTAATGATTATCGTATAGGTAGTTTAGTCTTAACGTTGACCTAGCTACTACCACTCCTTATAGTGTGTTGGTATGGTAGGCTATTCGTCTTCTTAAAGAGACTAGAACAAGGGTAGCAGCCGCGCTGTTATCTCTACTCCTGCTAGCGCAATAGATCCTATTGTCTGATACGCTCGATCGCTAGTAGCGTTAGAATATTATGAATGCTAGAAGGCAGGAATAGCATCGCTTCTAGCGTGTGCTTAAACTTGACACTATGCTTAGAGGAAGCAAGGTCCTTCCTATACTTGTTGTGTTGGCTCTTCACTATCTATCTAATACGCTTAACGACGCGCAATAAGTCGCCTCTAGAGGTCATAAGGTAGTCCTTTAATACCTTATGCATCTCTTTAACAGGCGAGCTTGTGATTGTATCGTAGTGCCGATAGTGCTAATTAGATCAAACAATGCTAGCATGTAGGTAGACGACTAAGTATTACGAACGGGAAATTGCCGCTAGAAGTTAGTCGGGTCACCAATGGAGCTAGGAAGTAGCGAAACTTAGTTCTAGCGCAAAGGATCTTCATCACAGTGCCTTCGCTAACTTCAAGGATAGTAACACAAGTAACGAATAGAAAAAGTACCTTATATAGAAGATTACGAAAATCGAGTCTACTATTTTGTTGAAAGAAATCTAGAAAAACAACCTTAAGTATGCTCTAGAGGATAACAGAGCTCGTCTAAAGAAGGTTTGCA